CAACAATTTCTCTGGTCAAATCCCTGAGGCTGTGGATTCTCTTGTTAGCTTGAGAGTCTTGAAGTTTGATCACAATGGGTTTCAGATGTCAATCCCAAGAGGACTTCTTGGTTGCCAATCTCTGGTTTCCCTTGATCTCTCCTCTAACCAGCTTGAAGGGTCTCTCCCTGATGGGTTTGGCTCTGCATTTCCAAAGCTCAAGACTTTGAACATAGCAGGAAACAAGATCCATGGCAGGGAGGGAGATTTTATTGACATGAAGTCCATCACTTCTCTCAACATTTCAGGGAATCAGTTTGAAGGTTCAGCAACAGGTTTACTCAAGGAGACTCTTGAGGTGGCAGATCTTAGCAAAAACCGGCTTCAAGATCATATCTCTCAGGTAGATTCCAACTGGACTAGTTTGGTTTATCTTGACTTGTCTGAGAATGATCTCAGTGGAGATATCTTCAAGAATCTGACACTACTAAAGAAGCTTAAGCACTTAAATTTAGCTTGTAATAGATTCAACAGAGGGGTGTTTCCTAGGATTGAGATGATCTCTGGTTTAGAGTATCTTAACTTGTCTAATACAAATCTTTCTGGTCACATACCAAGAGAGATCTCAGAGCTGAGTGAGTTGAGCACACTTGATGTTTCTGGAAACCATCTATCAGGAAGCATCCCTATGTTGAGTATCAAGAACCTCGTGGCTATCGATGTTTCGAGGAACAATTTGACTGGCGAGATACCAATGTCTATCATTGAGAAGCTCCCATGGATGGATAGTTTCAACTTCTCTTACAACAACTTAACCTTTTGCACTGAAAAATTCTCACCTGAAACTCTTAGCAGATCCTTCTTTGGCTCTACTAGCAGCTGCCCTATAGCTGCAAATCCTGCTCTCTTCAAGAGGAGACGCTCAGCTACTGGAGTACTCAAGGTGGCTTTGGCAGTGACGCTCTCTGCTATGTTCTTACTAATAGCAGCATTGTTTTTTGTAGCATTTGGCCGGAGAAGGAAACCTAAATCATGTGAAGCCAAAGATGTCTCAGTTAAGGAAGAACAAAGCATCTCAGGTCCATTTTCTTTCCAGACAGATTCCACTACATGGGTGGCTGATGTCAAGCAGGCAAATGCGGTTCCTGTGGTTATCTTTGAGAAGCCGTTGCTGAACATAACGTTTTCAGATCTCTTGTCTGCAACTTCCCATTTCGACAGAGACACTCTTTTAGCAGAAGGGAAGTTTGGTCCAGTTTACAGAGGCTTCCTCCCTGGTGGGATTCATGTAGCTGTAAAAGTTTTGGTCCACGGCTCAACTCTAAGTGACCAAGAAGCAGCTAGAGAGCTCGAGTTTCTTGGAAGAATCAAGCATCCAAATCTTGTTCCATTAACTGGATATTGCATAGCTGGTGATCAGAGGATTGCTATTTATGAGTACATGGAAAATGGTAACTTGCAAAACCTGCTTCAAGACTTACCATTTGGTGTTCAGACAACAGATGATTGGAGCACAGACACATGGGAAGAAGAAGGTGATAATGGAATCCAAAACATAGGGCCTGAAGGTCCGGTTGCTACATGGCGGTTTAGGCACATGATAGCACTTGGAACCGCACGAGCATTGGCCTTCCTTCACCATGGTTGTTCACCGCCAATGATCCATAGGGATGTGAAAGCTAGTAGTGTCTATCTTGACCAGAACTTGGAACCAAGATTGTCTGATTTTGGTTTAGCTAAAGTCTTTGGAAGTGGATTAGACGATGAGATTGCCAACGGCTCACCTGGTTATCTCCCTCCTGAGTTCTTGCAACCTGAGCAACAAGAACTGCCAACACCAAAATCTGATGTATACTGCTTTGGTGTTGTTCTGTTTGAGCTGGTGACAGGGAAGAAACCTGTTGAAGATGAGTATCTTGATGAGAGAGATACAGACTTGGTGACTTGGGTTAGAAGTTTGGTTAGGAAGAGTCAAGGATCAAAAGCTATTGATCCGAAAATACAACAGACAGGCTCAGAAGAACAGATGGAAGAAGCTCTAAAGATTGGTTACCTTTGCACGGCTGATCTTCCTTCAAAACGCCCAAGTATGCAGCAAGTTGTTGGTCTTCTTAAAGATATTGAACCAAAACCTAATCAGTGAAACATGATCGATCACATTCTGAAGTAACTTCTGCAAATGTTTTTGTTTCTCAGTAAGAGTTTCATTTCTTGGCGCCTTTTTAAGCTGTTTTTGTTCTTTTCTATGGTTGCTTCATGTGTAAGGATTGTATCTATGGGTTTGCTTGCTTTTACACCTATCTCTAATGTTCTTGCTTCACATAAAACTTGTTGCACAGTCAGATCATAACACCCATCAGCTTACATATGTTACATGAATCTGTATTTGATCACAATCAATGGAATAATACTAGTTCAAGGAACATATAAACAGAGGAAAAAACCAGCAAATTAGGAAGAAGAGGAAGTTTGAGTTTGAGCTTGAGCTCCCATAGGTGTAAGAGCTGAAACCCCAAAACGTCAAGACCAAAGACAAAATCTTGAAGCCACTCATGGGATCATGGACAATGACAGCAGCTATGCTTATAATGGGGACTCTCGCAGCATTAAAGCACTCGCGCCATGACTGTAGACGCCAAAAAACAAGACAGCGGTCGCTCCAAGAACCCCCCCCCCCCCCCC